TCCACCGGGCCCAGTATACTTCTAGACTTGTTACTATTAACTGTTATCCTAGAGCTCATCCTTTACCACTCAGAGCTCCTCATTTACCAGCACTCATATATCAGCTGAGGTAAGAACTCACTTTACTGTCGTCTTTAGATGTCTCAAAGTTGTAATATGTAGTTTTTTAAATATCTTTGAGCAAGTGTTGTACCGTTTGGTTTTGTGTGGTCATGTTTTGTAGAATAAGAAAAAAAATAATATTTGAGGTACTAATGCATTTTTTGATAATTGGGAATACTGTAATAATTTTGAAATGGGTGTTGAGAATTCTTGTTTGCAACTAGCTGGAGATTAAAGTATATATATGTTTATACCATCTTGATTGTTTTCGTTAAATACAACTCTTCAAATGCGCTATCTCATAATGAATCATGAATAACTTCACATAACGAAATAACTTTAGATATTGACACACTACAGTATGTGTAACAGGCAGGCTGTGCTCTGTGGTGCACTGATAACGTATAGGGCCGTAATTAAAACAAAACATACAGTACTTTGCTCTCACCTATGATCTGGAATGTTAGATGATAAATGTTTAAAAACGGCAGAAAACTACAGTAGTGTCAGTGCCAACCAATTTTGGGGGGGGAGGTAAGGAAGAGATGGTTTTTGACGTGTTTTTTTTTTTTTTTTAACCACTCAGGTCAGTAATTCCGAAGAGGAAACCGAACATCGGGTTACGTCTAAGTAATCTGACAAGTGGATTCATCAGACTCGAATAACAGTTTAAAACTTGAACGTGTGTCAGAATGGCTTACGCCTTTAATATCATATGATGAGATCCATCTCCTGAAACAAAATGAATGCTAAGAACAAATTTAAAGTGTAATGAAGCACTGGTGCACAGATCATACCTTGTGGAGTAATATATATGCAAAATACTAATTAAAACCCGTAAATTGAGTGATTAATAATTACTGAGCACTCTTTATCGCTTAAGGACCTTTTTCCAATGATATATAATTTTTACCAATTGTCAGCATACTAGCTGGTCGGGCGTCGGTTTGTTCACTGTTTCGCACATTTGTTCTCTATTACGACATTCATTGTCCAGCATCAGTAAAAGAGGATTACCTGGAGAAAACCCGCCATGTTCTGCTAGATCACGGAGTAACACCCGACCTTTTGTAATCCTACCCGGAGATCGAATCCCCTCGAATTAGCTAGCAAAAGGCAACCGCTCTTATAATTTCATGACGAATTGTGGTGAATTTAAAAAATAATAATATTAATATTTATGTGTATAATATTCTAGTGATGCATCTCAACGGTTAAACTGCTACTTTTGATATATATCGACACCAATCAGTTAATGTTTAAACTCTTAGGTGAGTTTTTGTTCTGTTTTATTAAAAAAAAAACTAATCACGTAATACGGTTTTAGCGTCTGTCTTTTTTTATCCGAAAAAGTATAATGGCTGTGATGGGTAAAATAAATTATTTATGAAAGTATATTATTTCATTATGTTAGTAGTAAGCTTCCACCATAGGACGTGAGTCCGGCCGGCTTGTTTTCTTAGCGCGTGTGAAGCCAAAAGCGATTTTGGATGACGAATTTTAACATTATATAAAGGCAGTTTTATATTTCAGTGTTAGGAAACTGTGCCCTTTGTAAGTATTTTTTGATGTATAATGTACAGTATGGACCAATCTAACAATTATCAGGGGTGTATTTGAAGTTCAAGAGGAAAATATACAATCAATGAGGTTATGGGGGTTTATGAAAATAGTGCGCGGTATTAAACATTCGCATTGTACAGTATGGGGTAATTTAACGTTTATCTCTTTTCATCGTTAATAAGATTTTATTTCTCCATGGCAATATGTGACGAACCGAAACGAGATAACATTTGAAAACGCAGTTCTCTATCGTTCATTTATGGGGGTTGTAGGATGTTGGAGCAGTTGTGTCAGCAGTTACTCGCACTTGTACTGCTTCCACCTAGGTCATCTGCCCTTCCACACACTCCTCCACTTTTGGTTCGTCACAGATACAGAATGGATTTCAATATTCGTTATTAATTTATGGCAATGTAATATCACCATGCTTTAAGTTCTTAACTAGTTATTATTATCATATTTTGTTAAAAAAACAGTATTATTAAGTTGATCCAGCACTTTTTAGCAGCAAATAGGGCTTAGGTAAATGTTATTTTTTGTACCCAGGGGGTATACAGTAAAGCTGATGAGTGGTAACTGGATGACAAGTCTGAAGTTACTGGGTGCGTTGCCGCGTCCTTGGAGGATTGTGGTCGTATAAGGACTTGTTGCCGAGTGTGAATATTAGGATCTCTGGAGCAACTTTGCTTCTTTTAGGAAAAATTTGGGTTATGGGTTAATTATCATGTTAGTGGAGATGATTATATACAACCAGGGTGTAAAAGTCGGGCCATGTTGATATTTAGTGATCTTATTTGCATTTACAGCTTAAGAATAAACACGCAAATTAAAAATATGCTCGCTTCTGGGTTAAAGTTATAACTTCAGCATTTTATTTATAGTAACCTTGATCGTTATGGTTGGCATTTATTTGTACAGAAAGAAAATGATGACCAAGAAAATTTGCCTTTAGGTGAAAGGTGTTGGTAATGTTGAGGTGCAGATGAAGGAGACGGTTGGTAAGTAGACATTCGAGTAAAATTGTAGTCGGTTCACCTAAAGATTAGACACCCCAGCTTATTTCACCTGAAAAGTTACCACTTAAGTTACCTGGGGGGTGATTTTAGGTTAGTGTACGTTAGATTGTTACCTTTAGGTGAGGTAATGTAGGTGGTTAATCTTCAGATGAAATAAGCTGGGGTTTTCAGTCTTCAGGTTATCCCTTTAGTCTTGGATCAGCAAAGGCGGATCCAGGGGGTGGTCTTGGGGGTCCAGACCCCCTTTTCACCAGAAAATTCCAATACTTTTTCTTTAATGCAGTATTGTACTTAGGCGTTTTCGTACAGTAAAAAGTAATTAATATCGTCCACAGAATATCTCCTAATATCAAGTGCACATAACTTCAAAATGGCCTCATAATGCCCATGATATTGGTCAGAATTCAAAATAATTCGGGGGTTAAAGCCTCCCCCCAGCTGGGCGGGCTGGCTATGCACGCCATGTTCCCCCACCCACAACTTCTTGGATCCCTATTTAGATATTCTTGGATCCGCCCCTGATCAGCCAGTGTTGAAAATAAAAATAAGAGGGTAATTAAAGGTCATATTGAGGTCGACACTACAGTATTTAGATAAATGCTAATGGAGTGTGGGAACAGATTTTGTTTATAGCTGCATTTAAAGTAAAAATCGAACGGTAAATATTCGTACATTGGCTGTTGTTAAGTTTTGGTATGAGAAAAGTTTTTTTTTTTTACGTTTTTCGGCGTGCTTTACTAAAATCGGCCCTTCATTTCTTGTGCAAATTAGCAGAAACAATTTGCACAAATATGGAGATAAGATTTGAGTAAAACATACCAAAAAACACAAAAGAAACCCTATTCTCATACCAAAAGAACCAACCTACCTGACCTAACGTAACCTACAAGGAGGACGAGGAAAGGAAGAGACAACTGACCAAGTGAGTAGAACCTCAGGTAAACATGGCGGGAACCTGCGGACAGCCATTGGACGAATATTAACCAGACAAACTATCTGCTTCGTAAAATATTGATTTGATTTTCACACACACACACACACAGACGTTTAAGTTTATATGCGTGCACATATACAAAACTAAATAAACATAGACTATACATACTAACACACTTTAGTTCTCTCCCCCACACACACACACACACAGTCGAGAAACTAATATGCTCACTTTCCTTTTACTATGGTGGGCAGTTAGAATGATAGATCATGTGTTCAGTGTTACTTTTTTCTTTACTTTCGTCACAATATTGTTAACCTTATTATTTGTTCGCCAAGAGTGTGCGTGAAGTTAACATGTTTTTTGTGTTGACGTGAAGCGTTATAAAGGTGATTTAAAACTTAAGAGTACAACGTAATTGACTTTAAATATTCTGAGTATATAACTATTTCAAGGCTCATTAATTAACAGAAATAAGTCGAATTTTAAAATTTTGAACCCAGATCCTTTAACCAGCAAGTAAAGGAATGCCTTCGTACACTTGTTAAACAAATTCTGTTTTGACGTCTTTGCCAAAAGGTAAGGAAGAGGTCAGGCGTCTTGTGGGCAATCACAACTCTTTTTTTTTCTGGAAAGCCAAAACAGTGTTTTTAAATGGTAAATTTTATCTGTACCAACTGAAAAAAAATGCATATTAAGGTGAGTTAAAACTTGGGGTACAGCGTAATTTACATTTTAAATTAAATTTTTTTTAGTGATAGAAAAAAAAATTGCCATTTAAACGCGCTTGTTTTGACTCAACAGACAAAAGGCACTTGTTGCCCAAAAGACGCCTAACCTATTTAATACCTTGCGTGAAGCGATATAACAATGTGATCGTTATGGTCCACGTGATTATATGTTTTACAGTAGTGTACTGTATGTATATTATGTGTGCTTGTTTGTGTTGTGTGTGGGTGGGTGGATGTGGAGTGTTTTTCTAGGTTCTAGACTGCATATACAGGATGCGAGGAGTGTGACTTCGTATGACTAAATTATCTTAAGTCTGGTTGAGGTATGACAAACCATCAGTATGTATCCTTGTCACTGGTATGCTGTTGTAAGTTTGTAAATGAAATTGTTCAGCAATTAACGGAATTTCACGAAACTTGGTTAGGTGTTGATGAGTGGGTGATTTGCATGTCTTGATAATTGCATACCGATGATTTTTGTTAGTAAGAGCCATTTGTTGTGTAATAAGAAAAATATACAGGTATCTAGGTAATTCATTTCAGGAGTTTTTCTTTTCGTTGCTCACATTCTTCATAACACCACATTATTTGAAGCTCTAGGTGTGTGTAGTGTACAAAGCTAACATACATCTTTTTGTGTTTTGGGGTATACAGATCGGGGCGAGGAGTCCCGGCCCTCGTCGAGAATGTGTTTTCCCTCGCCTACACCGCCATCAATCCTCTGCTTCCAGGTAAGTTCCCGTTCATTATGCGTTCCTGTTCATTCTCTCTCATACTACCAGTCATGTAAGCGGTGTCTTAAAAAAATCATGTCTTCATCCCCAGTAAATATGTTCCCGGCTCATACTACCCGTTCTTTAATTTTGAAACAGTTTATTTAGCCAGAAAAAAATACAGATACAAAGTGAAACAATAACAGCAGTATCGGCTTCATCCTTCTCACCTTTTGCATATGAGGATTTCATTTTTGACAAATAAGGAGATGTGACGTGACAAGATTCAGAAAGCCAATCAAAGTTTGCTGAGCTGATGTGAACATATTGAGCAAAGGAGGAAGTGAACTTGGTGAAAGATTGGAAAAGAGAGATACAATTCAAAGTTGGATGATGATATGATATATATTGGGGGGAAACCGGAGAGGAAGAAGTAGAGGGACAGGACAACAATAATAAAATTTATTCGGTAAAATTATCATACACATTTACAATTACCGGGTAGATTGGCATGTATATAAACTTTGCAGTTATACAGTTCAGCATGAATATAGATAATGTAGGTATACGGTGCACGTAGGTCATGCGAGTATACAGTTTAGTTTGTACAATATGTACCTAGACAGTGCAGGTTAGTAACATTGAGAAACAGGTAGGAAGTAGGCAGCTATCAAACAGGGAGGTACTACCGCCTGGGAAGATATTGGAAGCTTAATGTGTTGTCTAATGGTAGACCCTGCTGCCATATGGCATCACGAAAATTGTGACCAAGTCCCAGGTTGCTGATCTGACTTTCTGCCTCATTTACACACAATTGCTGGGTCTCAATTATTTCTCTTACTTTGACAACACAACATACATATATCGTTCCTCACTATTGATTTTTTTATTGTTCTTTATGGTTGTTATTTTTATTATTGTCATCATTATCATTTTATTATATTTTTATTTTTTATTATAAATTTTATTTACTATAAGTTATTTTATTTTTAATTTTGTAATTTTATCAAATTTTATTTACTATGAATTATTATTATTATTATTATTATTATTATTATTATTATTATTATTATTATTATTATTATTATTATTATTATTACATTTTCGCCCACAGGCCCCGATGTGGGTCAATGACCTGTGTCCGGGTGGGCTAATCCCCGTAAAAAAAAGGGTAGCTGGCAAATCTGGCGGATGCTTAATTCCAGGATGGATCTTTGCATAGGCTTAATTTCTAATCAGTAATAGTGCTGATATTTACAAGAGTAATAGTGATTTATTTATTTGTTTATTTTGTTATAAATTCAACAAGCATTACATTGCGCCTGGACTTTGGGAGGCTGGTGGACCAGTTTAACAATACAACATTCTGTGGTTAATAATACCTGTATGTAAACTGAGGTAACCGGATGGGAAGAGGAAGAAGACATCCTCAAGAGTAATTGATTGTACGGTATATAGACCATCAGGAGTCATAAGTGTAAAGTCATGTGACTGTATTCACCTAAAAGATGATTTTTTATTTAAAAATTATATAACTAAAGTTGTAAATACAACACACAGTTATGATTATAAAACTACATTATAATTTCTGAAGAATAAACTTAAAAATTCGAGACACCCAGGAAAAAAGTTGTGTGTGTGTGTGAGGATGGAGATGGGTAGTTTGCGTGGATAGATGAATGTGGTGGCGATGGGATTTTTTTTTTTCATATGAAGTGACACTTGATGGAAGTCATGTGGCTTGTGTTTAGGAAGGAGACAATACTTGAATATTTCTCTTACGTCAGCTAGGACTAATGAAAGAGGAAGAGTCTGTGTTTCTCTTGATTGCAACCACCGTGCTCTGTAACAGTTGGTGTGTGTACGTGTTTACAGTAGTGTTTGTGTGTGTGTGTGTTTAGTGTTTGTGTGTTAACAGTAGTGTTTGTGTGTTTACAGTCGTGTTTGTGTGTGCTTATGTGTGTGTTAACAGTAGTGTTTGTGTGTGTGCTTATGTGTGTGTTAACAGTAGTGTTGTGTGTTTACAGTAGTGTTTGTGTGTGCTTATGTGTGTTAACAGTAGTGTTTGTGTGTGTGTGTTTAGTGTTTGTGTGTGTGCTTATGTGTGTTAACAGTAGTGTTTGTGTGTTTACAGTCGTGTTTGTGTGTGTGTGTTTAGTGTTTGTGTGTGTGCTTATGTGTGTGTTAACAGTAGTGTTGTGTGTTAACAGTAGTGTTTGTGTGTTTACAGTCGTGTTTGTGTGTGCTTATGTGTGTGTTAACAGTAGTGTTTGTGTGTGTGTTTACAGTAGTGTTTGTGTGTGTGTTTACAGTTGTGTGTGTGTGTGCGTGCACGTGCGCTTATGTGTGTGTGTGTGTGTGTGTGTGTGTGTGTGTATTAGTGTCTGTGCTTATGTGTGTATGTGTATTTTGCACAAGATCGTAGTAGCTGCCTCTCCATTTACTGTATTTATATGCAACTTAGCTCCTGCTTAAATAATCCTTCCATGCATTGATCCTAAAAGAAGAGCAGCACTTTACTTCACCGCATTCAGGTGTCTAACAAATTAGTGAATGAACCTCTTTCAATATCTTCCCAGGCCGTAGTACCTCCCTGTTTGGTAGCTGCCTACTACCTACTAACTCTGATGCAGAAAACCAAATGTTATGGGTTACCAGCTCCCAGAGTGATGGTGGTAATATTGTATATATGCCTTGAGCCCCCGAAACTCTTTACACCTTGTTTGGTTGAAGAAAATAAATTGTGCTCAGGCTCGCTGGGACGTGGGCGATGTCACGTGTAACATATAGTACAGTACAAAGCACTGTACATAAATAAGCTTCATGTATAAAACCTTGAATCATTGAAATATACTGTAGTAAACTCTGTTGTAGTCTTAAAAGTCTAAAAGTCTTATGTTGTATTATCTCTATCCTATCCTCTTAGTTAAAAACTGATCTAAATTCCATTCAAATAAGGCAGCGTTTAGTGGTGTCACGAGTGAGTTAGTGGGAAGCCCCACCAGTGTTACTTAGCCTTTCCTGTGTGCTTCGTAAATATAAATAACATCAGTGTTCATGCCATGTAACTTGTTTTCTTTAGTCTGTAATTTGTCAAAATGCATTTACTATAGGTTACAGTCTGGTTGTAGGCTATGTAATGATATGCGTGTGTATGTTTACAGAAGCAAGTATTTGTGTATAGTACTGTACAGGTAAGAAACTCCGAGGAAGAAGCGGGTGATGTATTAATTTGAGAGGTGGATGGATTTGCGGGGTCCCTAATACCCAGCACGCGGGTGTCCGCCTGACACATGACGTGGGTCCTGCACTTGTAGAGATTGTAACGTTAAGACATAATGTGGATGTCAGACAAGGACGGCAATAGTCCTCCACTTTATATTATTATTATTATTATTATTATTATTATTTTGCGAGATGAAATGAAAAATAAAATAGAACAATAATAAAGAAATCATTCTCTCTGCAGCTTGATGAAAAGATTTTTTCCGTATTAACAGATTTGGCCGAAGTGACTTGTAATTTTGTAATACCAGTACTGTATATATCTTTAGTTTGCACTGATAGTGTTTTACCTTCCTTTCATTCTTTACAAAAAATCGACAAGGCTAATAAATCAAAACACTGCATCATATGTGCCAATTATATTGATTAATCGATTATGTCGGTACTGTATATCTGTCTGCTTATCAGACCAAAGTAAACCTTCCCCCTAGTATTGTATAGTGTTACTGTAGGGCTGCACGGTGGTTGAACTAGGGGGTTAAGGAAGGGGAAAAGAACGAGCGTCAGTGAAGGGATAAGGAGGGGAAGCCCCTCAGGTTGAGTGTGACGCGTGCCTAGTTCCCTCCCTCCCGCAATGGAGCACCGCCACCTTACCACACGCCTCTCATCAGCTGACAGTCGCTTGAAATTTTTATAGTTTTAATATAGCTACGTTGCTTTTTGATAAGACCTCCGGATTGACGCTGCATATGATGCATACCACAATATATTAAGCTACTCATGTGGCTTTTACTCTTGTAAAGGATCTTAGGAGTCCAGTATGTAAGGACAAATTACATATATCTTGAAGGCTAACAGTGAAGGAATATGGGTGGCGTGTATTTATGTGGTTCAACGGTTAAAGTCAGTTTCTGCACTTGATAAAAACTTAAACTTTTGAAACAAAGATAGTTTCCCCTGTAATGCTCAGCTGAGATACTGTGGGCGACATGCGAGTCGTGACTCATGATTTGTCCTGCTGATGGAGAGTACAGATCATGAGTCCCAAGAAGCCTTTAAGGCGGCGTCACACAAGCATTTTTCCCATCGTTTTATTTCATAAATTTTCAAAAAATGTTCAGTTTGTTGAGTGCATCCCTGTCACACATGCCAGTCTTTCCAAGTTTGTCAATTGTAAACAAAGAAGATGGCGCTGTATGCCTTTTTTTTTTTTTTTTTTTTTTTACGCTAGAGGTTGTACCTCTAGTCCGGCATTTCGTGGTCCGGAACGATTTTAGTTTGTCCAATAGGTAGATAGGCAGTTTTTTTTTTTTTTTTTTACTTATCTGAATTATTATTATTATTATTACAGGAGTATTAAATTTTTGCCCCTCAGGCCCCAATGTGGGTCAGTGACCTATGCCCGGGTGGGCTAATCCCCTTAAAAAAAAAAAAAGCCACGGGAAATTAAGGTTTGTTTACATCCGGCAGTTCGGCTGCTCTCTCTCTCTGCTTGTCTATACAGAGTACAACATTTAACCCTTCAATATATATGAGCAGTAAATAAGTGTTGCTTTCATATTCTTATGTAGAGTAATGACGATATATTTTCACATGTGCGCACTTACATACGAGCAGTCTCACTTTTTTTTTACCATTGATGGTTACCTACTTATATTGTTCCCTTTATTAACATTAAATAACATTACAGGTACTTCAAACAACCATATTAATTTTTTTACATTAATTTTACTACAGCTAAACTCAGGGTCTTATTTTCTTCAGTTTTATATGTAGAACCAATCAGTCACTGG